TACCAAACGGCGTGGCATAGACTGATAACGCTCCTGGATGGTCTCCTGCGGTATTTTATTGCCAAATTTGCTCCAATTGTCGGGCTAGGTCATCAACATTTCCTGGTAGATGCAGTCGTCTTCCCATCATATCCCAGACATGGTCGATGGGAGAGAAATCTGGCTGGGCAAGGAAGTGTTTGACAAGCTGTAAGACAGTTCATAGCAACGCGTGTCGCATGTGACCTGGCGTTATCTTGCTGAAAAATAAGGCCAGGGCACTGCAAATGGAACGATAGCAAAACAGTTTTCAGAATGTTGTCAACACACTGCTGTGCCGCAAGTATGCCTTTAATGACGACTAAAGGGGCCCGGCTATCAAGGGAAACGGCAACCAGACAATAATTCCTGGTTGAGGGCCTGTGAGCCGTGCAATAGTGAAAGGGAGATCGGCACGCTGCTCTGGGCGTCTCCAGACACTTCTTCGATGATCGTCAAGACACAGTTAGAAGCAGGATTCGTCGCTAAAGACTTTACGTCCCCAGTCACCATCATTCCAACTTAATCGAGCCAAGCACCGCTGTACTATGCCTCGGCAGCAATGTGCTGGCGTGAGTGGCAGGTGGTGGAACGGTCGTTACGAGCGTAGATTTTGCTCTATCAGCCATCTGTGAATGGTCATTGTGGACACTCGTGTGCCGGTTGGTTGGTTGGTAACGGAGGACGGGGACGCCTGATGTCTAACAGAGGTAAACAGGCATGTGTTCCGCGCCCTCCACTAACCAGGAACAACTCCCTGGGGACTCAAGAGGCCACCTCGGGAGCTTTTTAGGATGTTAACAAGAGCATTTACATGGCCATACAAGGGCAGATTGCATTCGTTTTACCGTTTCGACATTTGTTGTTGCAATTTGCTATGGTAATTTTGCACATTCACAATAAAATTCTAATAAAAATACAAATTAAATATACAGATACAAAAGTACAGTTACAAAATAATAGGATCAAAATACGGGCTCATAGGGAAAAAAAATAAAAATAAAATAAAATAAAATAAAATAAATAAAAATAAATTAAGTATTATGCATATACAGAAGAGGAAATGTTAAATAAATTTGATTGTACATTATTTGAAAGGTGTCTGTAATAGGGACTTATGTAAATTTTAGGAGTAGACTTATGTGTCTGAGAATGTGGAACTGCATGCTGACTTAGTTAGTGTATCATGTCTTGAGAGTTTTGGTTAATGAGGAGAGCACAAATCTTGGCCCATTCTCTTGAGCTTGTTAACAACTTTGCAAATTGTATTTACTGCCGGTTTGTGCTTTATAAGGAAGCGGTCATAAGCTTCACTATTGTTGATAGGAAGAGGGAGGTGATTTCCTGCTGTCAGATGGCATTCAAAAACATAGTGGTCTGGGGAGCCTTCCGCTCCGCAGGCGCATATGTCCGTGGTTGTTATGCCATGTCTATTGAAGTAGGTCGGGAATGGGCCGTGTCCCGTAATATAAGCCGTAAGAGGAGCTATTGCAATGTTGCGTTCAGTGCTGACTTTCGGGAGGTAGCTGTATGTACGTCTTCCAGTTGTGCAGTGCGTCCAGTCTTCCTGCCAAAGATTTAGGCCTTGACCCCGTAATAGCCCTTTGAGGTAGGAAGGAGGGGCTGGGATTGTGATTTTTTCAGCTTCTGGATCAGTGGCTGCTTGCTTGGCCAGGCTATCAGCTGCTTCATTCCCCTAATTTTCTGCATGTGCCTTGATCCATGTTAAGGAGAGATGTTTCTGCGGGTTGCGCTGTAAAAGTTGTTGTAATTTGATGATCAAGGGCGAGGTGTGGTTGTGATTATCTAGTGCTAGAAGCGTTGACATACTGTCAGTGAAAATTTTCGCCCGTTCTATATTATTATTGAAAATGTAATCTACCGCGGTTATAATTGCTTGCACCTCCACCTGGAACACACTGTTGTTTAAGTCAAGGCGTCCTTTCCATACATGGATGATTCGCCTTTGTCATAGTGTGCAAAAGCGCTGCCTACTCCATCTTCCTGCTTAGAGCCGTCGGTGTATATTTGCGTATCCCTTGAAAGTCGCGTCATTGACAGTGGCTGTATCCGTGAGATGTTAATTCTTATTCCTGTGCCTTTACGTGCAGGATGAGTGTGAAGAGTGTTACCTGGGCTTTGAAATTGCAGAGGGCTGTATGTTATGTTGCCAAATGTTGCATCTTTGCGGAGGTATATGAGGGTGGTGTACACTGCCTCTTGTTCTGCCCGTATGTGGAGTGGAATGAGCCCTGCAAGGACTGTCGCTGAGCTGGTGGCTGTGGTGCGGTACGCTTTACAGAGATTCAGGGCGAATGGTCGTTGAAGAGATGTAAGATGTTTGATCTTTCGTCCTCCCATCGGTTGGGCCCATACGGCAGCAGCATACAAGACTATTTTTTCAGCTACCACATGGTAGAGGATCTTCTGAATATGATGATTCTGACCCCAGTTTTTTACCTTGGAAGGCGCGGGCCTTTCTGGCTATAGCTGATGTTTTGTTTTTTAGTTCTTGGATGTGAGGGATCCAGGTTAGTTTTTTATCCCAGATTACACCTAGGTATTTTAGCGTTTGGACAACCTTTATGTTGGCTCCTTGTAGTTTGATGCAGGGGCGGCGCGTTGGATTCGTGCCTGCTTTGGGTATTATTATTGCTGATGACTTTGCGGTAGAGATTGTAAGCTTTAAGTTGCTGCAGATATTGGCGAGGAGGGAGCAGACTTCGGTGCCGTTTTTCTCAAGCTCCGCAAGAGTGCGACCTTTGACAAGAAGAGTTGCGTCGTCTGCGTAGGCGATGACACTTGTATGTCGTGGCCAGTTGCATCCAGTACAGAGTTGAATGTTAAATTCCAGAGAATCGGTCCAGCACAAGAGCCTTGGGGACATCCTCTTTCTTGCACTTTGAAGGTAGTGTCGTTGTTGATGGCTATGAGAAGACTACGATTCTCTAGATAACTACTAAAAACGCTGAAGAGGTTGGATGGACACTGTGCGTCTCGGAGGGCCTGTCTTATCGCTGGCCACCAGAGTGTGTCAAACGCACTCTGGAGGTCAATGGATATGAAAGCTGTATGGAAACCTGTGGTGCTATTGCGTTGAATTGTTTCACGAATTTTGCAGAGGGCATGCGTAGTGGACAGACCAGTGCGAAAGCCATACTGCCTGGGGCTGAGATGATTGTTGCTATGGAGATGATATTTTAGTCTGTTAACAATTAATTTCTCGTAAATTTTGCCCAGGGTTGGCAAAAGGCATATCGGGCGAAAAGAGCGCGGGTCTTGCAGGCTTTTATTCTTTTTCAGGAATAGGACATCTTGTCCTTTCTTGAATGCCTGCGGGAATATTTGGTTGTCAAACAGTTGGTTAAAGAATTTGTAGAAGAAGGAGGGACGTGCTTTGTAGGCAACTTTGATGATGCTATAGTCCAAGCCGTCTGGACCGGGGGCCTTTTTCAGGGGTAGGTTTTGGAAAATTTGCTTGACTTCCTTGTCACTAAATGGTATAGCGATGAATCAGCCGTTGTAACAACTGATCTGATAATCGCTCTGTCTTCCCGATCTGTTGTGGCCCTGAGTCGGCCGCTACCATCATAAAGCTGAAATCTGCCACTGTCCACCCATTCTTGCCAGCATCTTCTAAACGCCGCATCGCTTCGACTCATTTGACAAGCGATTCTCCGATTTACTCAACCTGCTTATTTCAATCCAGTGATAAGACCTCTTTCAAACTCTGATAGTTGCTCGTAATGAGCTCGAATCCTACGGCGAGGCATTTTTTCAGTCATTGAAATGTATTCTAAATTGCAATGCAACAGAAATTTTTAACAACAGTTCAAGAACAGCTCTTTATATACATCTGCTGGATGCGCAGTTCCGATGCGCTGGAGATCGCACTATTTACTCAGTCGACACCAAATTTTAATCATTTTCATATTTGGTCAAAACATTTATGCATATGGAATTTCAAAGCAATCGGACGATTCCTTCTTAATGTGAAGATATTTGTTGTTATAAACTGCATATAGATGTTTGAACTAATTTCTACGAGTAATATTCCAGGTGGTTTCAGACTTATTGAAATTTGATATACTTGATGACTTATATCCTAATCAAATCTACTGCCTAGCTGAAAGCTAAATATCTGACCTGCCGTTCTCTCATTTTTTTAATCAACGCATGTGATGTTTAATTAATTAATTTTGTAAGCCCATGTTGTATATTTATGGTACATCGGGTATTTATATGCATTTAAATTAAAACAAATATCAGTGCTTTTGTGACTGAATAACGGATATACGGTTTTGACATACTATTTTTATATTGTTGGCACTATTTTCAATTTTTATTTATTTAGTACATTTTGCATGCTAGTTTTATGTTTATTGATAGTTTATTTTCTTAAGTTTCGAATTTTTGCGCCTGAATATGTTTTTCAGCGCTTATTTCAGGTATAACATCGTAATTATCTTGACTCTGAGCTATCTGACGTTGAAATGGACTATTTCAAATATAACGAGTTACTTGCCATATTAGCTCAGCACTCATGAAGCAAAGCAACGATTTCGATCTCGGTTTCATAAACGTAGCCATTAATTCTCTGCTAATTATTGTCTATTGGAATATTTTTCTTACTATCTAGATTCTATGAAGGTTAGTTTGATCAATGTCGCATTGATAAATTCTTTAATTTTAATAGCTTTAAAAGCAATTAATTTTTGAAAGCAATGCTTTTCTTCTTAAGGAATAAAATGAGTGGTCATTTAACAGCAATGTCAAAACGGAAGAGGGCAGTTTTTGAGAATATTTTTAAATTGCTTTCGTCATTTCCAAGCGAACGATTTGTGACGCAAGTAGACGTCAATCCTCAGGTTTAACAACCAACAACGGAGTTTCATCTAACAGAAGTATTAACTGAATAATGACGGATATTTCTCGGAGGTCAAAGATGGTGTGATTCCGCCTGGGAATATACATTTATTGAACTTCCCGTTTAAGGAAAACCTCCTTGTATAAAAGAAATTTTCGCTTCCAAGTAAGTCACTTTTGAAGTTGACTAGATCTAAAAATGTGCACTGCAGTCTGTGTTTGGGCTTTTTTGCTTCTGTCTTGCGTAACAGTCAACGCTGGCTTGATAGCAGGTGAGTATGAAAATTTTTACACTGTGATTAGCGAATTTTTACACTATGACTATGATTAGTGACTATCAGTCTGAAGACACATAATTTTCGCTTGTTTTCATGTAATTAATTATCTCCTAACTATCTCAAAAATGATTATTTTACCAAAGCAAATACGATAAATGTGATATGTTTGTCATGGCAAATAATTATATAAATAATATTTCGGTCTGTGTTCTGTACAGGAAAAAAAATATTTATCTCAAATTTCAAACAATGTTTTACTATTATCTACAAGCACATCGGTTTCTTTTAGTTTAGGCGATACCAAATGAGAATTTTCTTTTAGAGAATACATAGAATACATAGTATACATATGTAGAATATATAGTCTTTTGAGAATATATATAATAGTATATATCTGAAAGGGTTATGAGTAATAGCCATATAATCAAACTTTGATAAAATGATTTGTTAGAATCTATAATGAGTATATATTGGTATCTCGATACCCAAAAAACCTGAAAAGCATTTCGAAACTGGCAGGCTGAAATTTCTGGCAGGTTGCACTATGCTGCCAAATATTCCAGGCTATATTATATACTATTATTGCTTAAGAGAAATAATTTATTTCACATAATTATTGCTCACTGAAAATTCATCCTCTCATTTATAAAAAAATCAGGGAAGGTGTGATTAATAATTGTTACTAATAAAAGTTAATAATGGCAGAAAATGCATTGCTGATGTCTATAGTCGTCAGCAATAATTTTAAAACTGTTTTTTATTATCCTCAGAGAAGACCGTAGCCCTTTCATGCATGTAAAAGTTTTGCTAATGTTGAATTTTCTTGCTGTGTTATTTTAACACTGATATTTGTATATTAGAAAAAGGTCACTATTTTATTATTAATTTTTTGAATGTTCAAGATCTATTTACGATATTCATTTTTTCTTTAATTAGTCATTTTTTGATTATGGAAACAGCATAAAAGTTTCTACATTTTCCGACACTTGGTTGCTGTTTTAAGAATATATCAATATTTTTAGTCCTTAAAATCAATGAAAACCATTTTTTAGAAGTAGCTGATGTACGGCATCATTTTGAATATCATTAATAAATTTCGTAATAATCTTCATCGTTTACAACGCGGATTATATCTTGATTTGTTGCCCATCTGTCGCACTTCACATCTGGAGACTTTTTATTTCAAGCATGTGCTAAATGCTTATGATCCTTAGTTGCTGGATATTTTCCATTTAAGAAACGTGAATTTTTTAAATGTGGAGAAAGTGTGAATTTTTTCATCGCAATTATCTTTGCTAAAGAGCATTTCATCCGTTAAATGAACGCATAACACATCAAATGAATAATAATTGAGACAAGAACTATTATCGAAAACTGCATAAAGCTGAACTAAGACGTATGGACAGCAGAAACAGCATTTCTGAACGAAAAAGTCACACATGCCTTTGTACAATATCTTTTCTCATTTCCAGCTAATGTGGATGATTTCTGCACCTCGAAACTTCAAGTAGCTTGATAATAAAAGAATCAGATTTCAAGTCTGGAGATCCGTTTGACAATTTCCTACATTTTAACAAAAAGTTGAAAGCAAGAATGAAGTCTCCACTCTACAGAATGGTCATAAAATCCCCTTCAGTACTAAACAAATCAGAAATACGCTTTCATAAAAGGCCTAACAGAACTTAGGTAACTTAAAAAGAAGAGCATATTCAAAATTTCAAAGTAAACACTATCTGTGGGATGTGATTGTAATTAAAAATGCATATAATAAGATTTCTTATCTTTCAGTAGTTTTATGCATATTTGTCCCAATTGCATTATCACGTATTGCAAAGTCACTGAAATGCAATTTAAAAAACAATTGAGCACTTTTTTCGTATTTTTTGATTGATTTTTGGATCATTTTGTCTATATATAAATTAAAAATCGTAGGAAATCTTAAAAAAAAAAAAAAAAAAAAAAAAAAAAAAAAAAAAAAAAAAAAAATATTGTATATTTCGTCACCTTTAATGTCTCAGCTCTTTTTGATCTTCATTCTCCATTTCTTCTTCCTGTAATGCATTGATTGTTTGATTATTTACATTTGATTAATTACTTACATTTAATTTTATAACATGGTTTATTAGTATTTTATTTTATAAGGAAATTTTACTACATGTCCCTAAAGCTTAAAATTCTTAATTTTTGTCTTTTAAAAACCAAAGCCTTTTTCAATGAGGTATTTCACATTTAGTGTTCAACGGATTGCAAATATTTTCAACACTCATTTTACAGATTTCGACGAATATAAATCAGAAAGGGAGCTCAGAAAATACCTCTTTGATGAATATGATAAACTTGTCAGACCTGTTATGATACCTTCCAGAAAGGTCAACGTTTCTGCGGGACTTGCGCTATTGTTTCTACGAGAACTGGTAAAGTTTATTTCGCTATTAATTAAGAACTTTGCATGTTTAGTAAGTTAATAGTACTATGACCTGAACAGTTAGTAATACTATGAACTGAATGCATACAAATTTGACGAAGACGCATAATTTAGATTTGGGAAATGTGCTCCAAAGTACTGATATAAAATCTTTATGTAATTGCTTGTAAATAATTACTTATTTTGCCATATATATTACTTTATTTCAATGTAGTAATTTGTATATGCGATTGTATAAATTCTTATATAGCTGTAAAATATAAAAATACGTTTGGTTCTTTAACAATTAAAATTAATAACGCACGCGAATAAAAGTCATAAAGCTTATAACAGTTCATAAGTATGGTAATATGGTCTTCACACATATGCAAGAAAAATACTATGAGGAGCATCACTTACCATGTTTGCTATGTGTACCCCAGATTTTTGACTTAAATTAGGCTGTGGCCTATTCTTGAGATAGTAATTCTAAAGCAACTTACTGGTATTAATTGTCTTTACACAACTTAGGACTGTAAAAACTGTAATCAAAATTTTCATGTGAAATTAACAGCTGTTGTTTTTATTCTTCATTTGAAATTTTATTGCCAGTATCAGCACCACTCGAGCCACCCATGTTTCTTCGAGTATTTGTTTAATGCGAGACATAATGCCTTGTCTTCTGTTCCTCAGATGATGGGAGGTATACACGTGTTCTTTTAAGTCGTTCTTCATGTTGAAAATAAACGTGACTGAAACTTCTGTTTGTTCTAGTACTAATTTTCATAAAGGCTCAAAAGCAATCAACACGGATCGCCCATGTAATAATGCACCTGTATGCCGAAACCACATTCACCTCTATCAATCCTTCGAATATTGTTCTGTCATCCACACTTGAATCTGAGTTCGTATAGGCGGAAATATTTTTTCAGTAAAGTTTTGCATTTAAAAAAGACGTTAGCTGCAGTTTGTTTCTATCTTCAGGGTATTAAGATAAAACTTTGATATTTTACATTTTGCTGTTTGAATCAGAATTTTTTTAAATCTGTCTCATTGCTTGTAGTATCACTTGCAATATCAAAGAAGATAAGAGTTTTATCTACTTTGCTAGTTGTTTCCAAGTCGTTCCTTTCCTATGTTGAGGGCAATATTTCTCAAAAACGAGTAGTTTCAGTTGCACTTGTTATGAAGTTGCTATGCCATTGAATTTTTTCGCCGAATCACGATTTCATGTCTTTCCACGAAACATTTTGATCAGCCGTAACTACCTTTAAATTCACTTTTGAGAATTTACATATTTTAGGTAATGCTTTGGGCTCCGGTTTTCTCATGTGCAGCGAGTATACGAGCCACTTTTCCTTAGACAGGTCTTCACGAAGGCATCCCTCCTCTTAAGCATATAACCCTCGAGTACTTTGTCGTAATTAAGTAAATCAAACCAAACTAGTCCTTCTGGCTCTGAACCATATCATTTCAACGGACGCAGAAAATCCATTTACCCGATGTAGCGAAGCGGTATCTTAACTTTAAATTAATAAACTTAAGAATACATCACTTTCGAACACAACACAGCGCAAAAGTAAAGCGACAGAGTTACAATTAGCGGTTTTAAGAATGCAAGAACAAAATGCGAGCTACGCATACAATCTGCGCATTGCGAAATGATATCTCACAGACAGGCAGAGAGCTCTGGTGTCCGAAACATTCCGCCCGGCGTTGAAACATCATTTCAAACTAAATAACTTTTACAAAATGAAATTATCATAACAATATTAAATTATGCAAAAATGTATCATTAAAATATTCACAAGAAAACATATTATGAAATTATGAAATGAAACTAAATTGTTCTCAAAACAGATGCACACAAGCCTTGATACAATTCAGGAACTTAATTATAGCTAAAGTAAAGTACAATGTTATAATGCTTTATGGAAAAAAAAAAAAACTTAATCATTGATAGGCAAAACACTAAGTTTGTGAATTGGCCTTTTGAAAACTCCGTTAGCAGTTTTGATCTTCACGATACGCAAAATATTATCTGAGCTAGGAAAAACTTCCAGCAGTCTTCCTAATTTCCATCGTAGCGGGGGTAAATTGTCTTCCTTTATGATAACTAAATCATTAACCTTTAAATTAGGTTGCACTTTCAACCATTTTGAACGTCGTTGCAAATTAGAAATGTATTCATTGGACCATCTTTTCCGAAAGCTTTGAAACATTTTCTCAACAAGCTTCTAGCGTTGCAATATAGGAATTTTTTGATCGTGTAAACTTTCTTCTGGTAAGGCAGTTAGCGGGGTACCAATTAAAAAATGGCCTGGCGTAAGTGTAGAAAATTCTGATGGATCTTCAGGCAGTGGACACAACGGTCGCGAATTTAAACAAGCTTCAATTTGAGCTAGCAATGTCATAAATTCTTCTTGCGTTAGACGTTGTTCACCTATGGTTCGCTTGAGATGTAACTTTGTAGATTTGACTGCAGCTTCCCATAATCCTCCAAAATGTGGCGCTGCGGGAGGATTAAATATCCACTTAATACATTCAGTAGAGCAATATTTATTAACCAATTCATTTTCATTCAAGGAGTTTATTACTCTTTTCAATTCCTTATCTGCAGCAATAAAATTGTGCCACAATCGCTATGCACTTCTATTGGTTTTCCTCTTCGAGATACAAAGCGCTTCAAAGCGACAATAAATGATTCTGATGTAAGATTACCTACTAATTCAATATGTATAGCTTTTGTAGTAAAACACACGAATACACAAATGTAGCATTTCATTGGTTTTACTCCTCGACCTTGCCTGGGTTTCACTTGAAATGGCCCGGCGTAGTCAATTCCAACTTTGGAGAAAACCTTTGACGGAACGACTCTAGACGATGGTAAATCAGACATTATCTGGGTAGATGTTTTAGCTCGTACACGATGACATTTCACACATTTCCAAATCTGTTGTCTTACAACTGACCTAGCGTAGATTATCCAATATTCTCTTCTAATTACTGATAGCAATAGCAGGGGGCCTGCATGAAGATGGGATACATGAAAATGATTCACTATAATATGTGTTATGTGATGTTTCTTGGGCAACAAAATAGGATATTTTCTGTCCTGCGCGATGTTGGATTGTCTTAATCTTTTTCCAACGCGTATAAGTCCATTCTATCGATAACGGGGGTTCAAAGAAAGGATCTTACTATTTGAGTTTTAACGGTTGATCTTTTTCAGAAGATTATATTCATTAGAAAACTCATCCATTGAACTACTCTAAACATTGCATTTCTAGCGTATTGCAATTCTTCGGTTTTAAGGTAACCCTTAATCCTTGTTGCGGTAGATTTAGCTGAATTATTCGCAAAACCGAAAACACCATGCGATGATTCTTTTAAGTTTCAAGAATGATGAAACTTCATTAAGGACTGGAAATTGCGAAGCGACTGTTCCAATTGAACAAGAAATATTTTTTACGTTGTTCCCTTAAAGACTCTTCTGAAAATGTTTAAGTTGATAGAGAAACGGAATATTATTTGAATTAAGCCAATGAGGACCTGTCCACCACAAGTCATGAGTAGAAAATATCTGAAAGCAAAAAAGACTCTTGATGCGCAATCAGCTGGATTCTCCTTTCCTTTTATGTGATTCCAATGCGATGAAGGTAAGACTGATTGAATTTCTGAAACGCGGTTAGCTATACGAAGGTTTGCCAGCGTGTTGGTTCTGATTGTATCCAGGACAAAATATCATTGAATCACTCCATGCGTAAATATCGTCAACATGAATTTGCAATGAATTCTGCACAGTTTGAACCAAATGCACTAATAGAACTGCAGAGCAGAGTTCTAAACGAGGAATAGAGATTACTTTCAGGGGAGCTACGCGAGTTTTTGATGTTAGTAGCTGCACCGAAATTGAAGAATGATTTGAAGACTTTAAATAAATCACTGCTGCGTAAGCTTTCTCTGATGCGTCACAGAAACAATGAAGTTCTACATTTGTAGATTTGGGCAATAATACTACTCTCCTAGGAATATGAATGCATTCAAGATTTGCGATATCTTCTCAATAGATTTTTCCATCTTTGATTGATTTCATCTGGTAAGAGATCATCCCACGAGATTTGTAGTTTCCATATATTTTGAAGCAATATTTTTGCTGCAACTATGAAAGGTGTTAACCAACCAAGTGCATCAAACATTTTCGAAATGAAAGACAAATCATTCTTTTAGTAGAATGCTCTTGTTCTCAAGATTTTCAAAGTGACAAGTAAACTCGTCTTGTGTTGGATACCACTCCAAACCCAATAATTTTATTGATTTAGTATCAAAAATTGTGCATGAAGAATTAGCATTCTGAGCACTCAAAGCAGTTTCCAAAATCGAGCGATCATTTGTACACATTTATGTAATTGAAAACACCTTTTTTGTGAAAGTTCACTCAGTTGTGAAATTAACTCTACTGCGTCTTCTACTGTGTCTGAACCAAATAGGACATCATCAATATAGCAATTGTGTAATATTATTTCAGCTGCCTTTGGGAATTTAGCTCCTTCGTCAATTGTTAGTTGTTTGAGTACGCGAATAGCCAGGTATGAAGCTGAAGTAGTGCCGTACGTAACTGTGCACAACCTGTAAGTTTTAATCGGCTTCGATGGATCATCTCTCCAAAATATTTTTTGGAAATCGCGGTCTTCATCATGAATTTGAACTTTGCGATACATTTTCAATAAGCCGCTAGTAATGGCTATGGGATAGCATCTAAACCTCAAATAATAGTAAATAAGTCGTCTTGCACCTTGGGACCAGTCATTAGCGTCATTAAGCGATATCCCTGATGTAGGTTTGGCACTAGCATTGAAACGATGCGTAGTTTTGTGGTAAGACTGGATTTTAGCACGTGATGATGAGGTATATAATAATGAAAATTTACTTTATCTAAATTATCATCGGATAATTCTTCCATGTGTCCAAGTGATAAATATTCGGACATGAAGTCTTTATATTGCTGATA